CTTTCTGATAAATTTACCTTCTAACAGGAGTATGGTATATATTTCCAAAATATATTAAATGATATCTTGATATATGTATTTGCTTTAGGCTCGGGATATCAAAGAAAGCCTCAGGAATGGTTTCAACAACCCACAAGAATAAGGCTTAGGATGCAAAGTAAGTTGCTAAATCTTTACCTGTTACTAAAGTAATATCAAGTATATTTGCTGTTTTTTTCAGTCAGCATACAAAACTATTTAGTTCTTCAGATAGGAATGTAGATTGTGATTTCGTTACTGAAGGACAGCTATGATAACCAGATTATTTCCATCTGCTTGGAATATCAGGAGATTGTCTGGGTGTAAAGCATAAATAATAGTGTGAGAAAACCAGTGGATGAAGTTGTCAGTTCTATCTAGCAGCAGTCCAATCTGTACATGATAATGAAATTCTACTCTTTTGACAGTACCTATTTTTTATTTGTAGTAGACTTTACTTATATACAAATAATTACTTGCAGAATAATTACAGAAATTCTGCATACCCATTATATTAAGTAATAAAGGATGAAATCTATAAATAGTGTTTTTTTCTTAGGTTTAGGATGGATTAAGTGTCACAGAATTTGAGAAATACCGTATGTCGATGTGATGAAATAATCATGCTTTGAATTCAGTGTCTATTGTAATTTCTATAGCAGTTTCCACATTAAACCTTGACCATGTAGAAAAAAATTAAGTGATCTTTAACCTTTATCCCTTCCTTATTCATCTAACCACAATAATCTCAAGGTCATTAGGTATTCCCATACTTGTATTTAGATAACATAAGGGGTACCTGGGTGCCTCAGTCGGTTAAGCATCCAACTTCAGCTCAGGTCATGATCTCACAGTCCATGAGTTCGAGCCCAATGTCGGGCTCTGAGCTGACAGCTCAGAGCCTGGAGCCTGCTTCAGATTCTGTGTCTCCCTCTCTCTCTGCCCCTCCCATGCTCACTCCCTCTCTCTCTCTCTCTCTCTCAAAAATAAATTAACATTAAAAATAAACCACCTTCTCGGGGCGCCTGGGTGGCTTAGTCGGTTAAGCGTCCGACTTTTGCTTAGGTCATGATCTCGCGGTTCATGGGTTCGAGCCCCGCGTCGGGCTCTGTGCTGACTGCCAGCTCAGAGCCTGGAGCCTATTTCGGAGTCTGTGATTCCCTCTGTCTCTGACCCTCCCCTGCTCACTCTGTCTCTCTCTCTCTCTCTCTCCCCTAGAAATAAATAAAAATAAAAAATAAATAAAAATAAATAAAACAAAAAAAATAAAAAAAAATAAATCTCCTTCTCTTTCTCAAAAAAATGACTAACTGTAATTGACAAGATTAGTTTGTGTAAATAAACCCCTGTCGCTTTGTTTTACCAGCAATAAAGTAGTGATGGTCATAATTCATTGTTTCCCAACAGTTGAAATTTTACCCTACATGTAAGTTCTTCAGTCTAAAACTGAAAAAATTTTCTGTCCTTGCCTTATTATTAGCTGTCATTCCTTATTGTTGTATGTGCCTGCTGTTAGAAACTATTTCTTCTTACAATTTGCTCTTCCTGACCTATTATAGCTAGGAAAGCAAATATTATTTAGCTTACTAAGATTTTGTTTGTAACCAGTATCAAAATTAAACTTACTTTGAAGATCTAAGAAATATAGTAAGTAAATATACTAAGTAAAAATGGATGAGTTTAAGTATACTTTGTATGAAAAGCTCAGACAGTTCTTATTTTATTTCTTAGTTCTTAATTATACATTCTGGGTAATTAATAGCAGATATGTTTTTTCCAGGTAAGTGTAGTACACATTGTTACCACAAATGTTTGTATAATTTTTATTTCCTCTGATAAGATATAAATGCAATGGAGAAGGGAAAATAGTTATATTGAAGATCTGATTGGAATGTAGAGAAATAGATCTTTTTAATTGCTAAATTGCTAGGTAAGTCTTAGTCTTTATATGTTTGCATCCCCGCTTTGTCTTTGTGTATTTATTATGGCTTAAATATCTGCATACCAATTGATAGCTTTCTACCGTATATACAGGGCTTTGAGAGTTATATAGAAATTATATACCAGAAGTTTGCACACTAAGGTGCAGATAACAACTTTTGAGACCTTTAGCTACATGAGGACTTTAAAATAATAGTGAACATGAAGAAAATATTTTCAGTGAAAGAGGAGGCCTGCAGTAATTTTCATATGGACTTGCAGATTCCTCTTCAATCCAAGATCATTTAAAATGTTTTTTCCTTAGCATTCTGAATTTCATTGTTTAATTAAGTTTACATTTCCATCTTTAATGAGAAAAAGATTAATTTTTAGAATTAGGTGTTTAGGAACCTGGGACTTTTACATCCTAATTGTCACCCATGATAGCACAGTTCCTTAGGTATACAGGCCCCCATTTAGGTTTCCGCCTGCTTTCTAATCTTTGGTGGAAGATAGAATCACTGTCTTTATTTTTTCCTATTTTCCAGGTGATAAAACAGTGAGAATAGGGAAGAGAATCTAGGGAGAGGTCAGACCTCTGAGTCTGTGCCCCAGTAATATACATGTTTTGGAACCTGTCTGTGAAAGTAGTGCAGAGGAGTGCCTGGTTGGCCCAGCGGCTGACTTCAGCTCATCATGGTCTCAGTGCTTGTGAGTTTGAGCCCTGCATGGGCTCTGTACTGGCAGTTCAAAGCCCGGAGCCTGCTTAGGATTCTGTGTCTCCCTCTCTCTCTGCCCCTCCCCAGTCACGCTCTGTCTCTCTCTCAAAAATAAATAGAAATTAAATAAAATTAAAGTAGTATAGAGATACAAAGGAGAGTTTGGCACTTCTGCTTACTAATTGAGTGATCTTGGTAAAGCCATGTAACCTTTTTGAATCTGTTTTCTTACATTTTAGTGGGGATAATAGCGCCTATGACTGGGCTATTCGAACTAGCTTGTTATATATGTGAGCACAGCTTTTTAAGTCTGAATACGAAATGAATAATCACTAATTCTTATTGTTAACAATATATTGTGTAATAATAACAACAACAATGAAAGATTCATATCCTTTGCACTTGACTTTCATAGAGTGATTGATTGTTACCATACTCTTCACACTGGAAAACCTTGAGCTTTATCTTTTAAAAAGGGGTGTGGGGGGGTGTTTTGTTTTGTTTCATTTTTTAGGAATTTCTGTCACTATTACTGATAATGTTTTTAATAAGAAGAGGGATAGAGATTATCTCTTAGAGAATGCTCTCTGCCTGAGCAATATATACCCTGATAAGTTTGTTTGTATTCTGTGAATTTTATATATATGTTATATAGTAACTCTTATTTAGCTATTCCTCATCATCAAAATCATCATAGAGCACTTACAGGATTTTCTTATATTATTTGATCTTTGCAACTATGGAGTAAGATATTCTTTTTTAAAAAAATTTATTTATTTATTTTAAATAGTTTATTGTCGAGATGGTTTCCATATAACACCCAGTGCTCATCTCCACAAGTGCCCTTCTTCATGCCCATCATCCCCTTCTCCCCCCACCCTCATCAGCCCTCAGTTTGTTCTCAGCATTCAAGAGTCTCTCATGGTTTGCCTCCCTCCCTCTCCTCAACTATTTTTCCCCTTCTTCTCTCCCATGGTCCTCCGTTAAGTTCCTCCTAATCCACCTATACATGCAAACATATGGTATCTGTCCTTCTCTGCCTGACTCATTTCGCTCAGCCTAACACCCTCTGGTTCCATCCACGTTGCTACACATGGCCAGATTTCATTCTTTCTCATTGCCATGTAGTATTCCATGGTATAGATAAACCACATCTTCTTGACCCATTCACCAGTTGATGGACACTTAGGCTCTTTCCAGTTTTGGCTGTTGTTGAGAGTGCTGCTATGAACATTGGGGTACATATGCCCCTATGCATCAGCATGGAGTAAGATATTCAAGGTAAACATTTTCTTGATGGATTTTTTTCTAAGACAATTGTATTATGTTTCACATGCTCTTTCACTATTGATTCTTCTATGTGGTGCCTCATAGAGTAGTCTTTTAAAACATTTTATTGAGGTATAATTGGCATACATTTAACGTATTACAAGCTTGATATGGTTGGAAATAAGTGTCCATCTGCAAAACTATAACCACAGTCTATGCCATTAGCATATCTATCACCTCCAAAGTTCCCTCCCACCCTCTTTATTTAGCACTTTACATAAGATCTTCCCTCTTAGCAAATTTTTAAACATATGATACAGTATTGTTAACTATAGGTACTGTGCATACAGTAGATTGCTAGGACTTAGGCATCTTGTATACCTGAAACTTTGTACCTTTAACTAAAATCTCATTTCCCCTCCCCCCCACCTCTCCGCAACTACCATTCTGCTCTCTGCTTCTGTGAACTCAATTATTTTAGATTCCTCACAAAATGAATTGTCAGAGGGGCGCCTGGGTGGCTTAGTCGGTTAAGCGTCCGACTTCCGCTTAGGTCATGATCTCACGGTTCGTGGGTTCGAGCCCCGCGTCGGGCTCTGTGCTGACTGCCAGCTCAGAGCCTGGAGCCTGTTTCAGTCTGTGACTCCCTCTCTCTCTGACCCTCCCCTGCTCGCGCTGTCTCTCTCTCTCTCTCTCCTAGAAATAATAAATTAAAAAAAATTTAAAAAAAAAAAATGAATTGTCAGAACCTACAGCTGTATTGTCTTATATGATGCAAAACACTGTATATTTTATACATATTATTAATACTAGACATTGAAAATGAAAATATACTGTGAAAAAGCAATTTGTATTTATTTATGGGTATAACAATTGATGAGCTGATAATGAAGAAGCAGCAGTATGATTGTTTCATGGTAGCCTAGTATAATTGATACAATTGCTTCATAGTAGCCTAACCTATACACTAATAAATGAATCATTATAAAAATCTCATGGCATATGATATTACAGTCATATTCATAATACAGTATTTGGAAACATACTGTTACTAAAACAAAACAAAACATTTACCTGTGATGATAGGCTGACAGGCAGTTTTTCCAGTTACTTAGAGAGAGAGGTATATAGTACCATAATTCCTTGAAAGCAAAGTTATAAAATAATAAGAAAACTAACATTACTATTATATTAAATAGCACTCCTCTTATGCCTGGGTAAGGATAGGCTCTCCTCTTCCATACAAGTCTTGCACACAGTATTCTACATGATGAATACTTAGGAGAAGATGATGATACAAAAACACCTCGTATGGTTCTTGCCGTACAGTGATTAGATTTCCACACCAAGACATACACACGCAACAGATCAGTTCATTCACTGTGCTACGTGATGGTTATTTACTATTCATTTAGTGGAAGTGCGTCATCATAAAGGCCTTCAACCTCATCATTTTTGTGTTGAGTAGGCTGAGGAGGAGGAAGGGTTGGTCTTGCTGTCTTAAGGGTGGCAGAGGCCAAAAAGGTGGGGAATATGGAAGGGGAGTTAGGAGAGGCAGGCATGCTCCAAAATACTTAAATTCTGTCTGACCTTTTTGCCTTCTCATTTCTCTAAATGTGTGTCTCTATGGTACCAATCTTTCTTCCACCATTTCCTTTAGTTTCAGTACCTCTATCATTAAAGGGTCCTTGTCATTAAAGAAGTCGAAAGCAGTCTTGAATAATTGGCCAGATTATCTAATGTCAGTTTGTTTTCTGGCACTGTTTCTTCTATGCCTCCTTCCTCACTGGCTGGCATCAGTTAGGAAGCACTCATCTCCATCGAGTCGTCTTCTGTTAATTCCTCTCGTGTTTTTATTAGCTCTTGAACTTACTCTCTAAGATCCATATCTTTTTTTTAAATTCCAGTATTATTAATATACAGTCTGGTTATATTAGTTTCAGGTGTACAATATAGAATGACTCAGCAGGTATTCACAGCTCATCACAACAGGTGCACTCCTTAATACCCTTCACCTATTTCACTCGTCCCCAGCCACCCACTTCCCCTCTGGTAACCATGAGTTTGTTCTCAATAGTTAAGAGTCTGTTTTAGTGGGGCACCTGAGTGGCTCAGTTGGTTAAGCTCCAGACTCTTGATTTCAGCTCAGGTCGTGATCTCACAGTTCATTAGATTGCACCCCACATAGAGTTCCACACTGACAATGCACTGAGCCTACTTCTGATTCTCTCCCTCTTTTGCTGTCCCTCCCCAGCTTAGGCTTACTCTCTCTCAAAATAAATAAATGAATCTTCAAAAAGATTCTTTACAAAAAGAACAAAAACAAAAAATAAGAATCTGGTTTTTTTTGTTTGGTTCTTTTTTTCTTTGCTTTCTTTGTTAAATTTCACACGAGTGAAGTCATGTGGTCTTCTCTGACTGACTTATTCATTGCACTTAGCATTACACTCTCTAGATCCATCCATGTTGTTAAAAATGGCATGATTTTATTCTTTTTTACACACACACCCATATATATATATATATATATATATATATATATACCACTTTTTTTTATACCACATCTTCTTTATCCATTCATCTATCAATGTATACTTAGGCTGCTTCTGTAATTTGGCTATTGTAAATAATGCTGCAATAAATATAGGGTGCCTGTATCTTTTCAGATTAGTGTTTTCATATTCTTTAGGTAAATAACCAGTAGCGGAATTATTGGATCATAGTGTACTTCTATTTTTAATCTTTGGAGGAACCTCCCTACTGTTTTCCACAGTGACTGTACCAGTTTGCTTTCCTACCAACAGTACAATGAGGGTTCTTTTTTCTTCACATCCATGCCAATATTTGTTTCTTGTGGGAGTTTTTTTGAAGTCTATTTTAATAGAGAAGGTACTTGCATGTAGGGGAGGGGCAGAGAGAAAGGGAGATACAGAATCCAAAGAAGGCTCCAGGCTCCAAGCTGTCAGCACAGAGCCCAATGCAGGGCTTGAACTCACAAACTGTGAGATCATGACCTGAGACAAAGTTGGACACTTAACTGACTGAGCCACCCAGACACCCCTAGACATTACAAGAATATTAATTCTTGGGGCACCTGGGTGGCTCAGTCCATTGGACATCCGACTTCGGCTCAGGTCATGATCTCAGGTTCATGGGTTCGAGCCTCGGGTCGGGCTCTGTGCTGACAGCTCAGAGCCTGGAAGCTGCTTCAGATTCTGTATCTCCCTTCTCTTTCTGACCCTCCCCTGATCACGCTGTCTCTCTCTCTAAAATTTTTTTAAAAAAAGAATATCAATTCTCAATCCATGAACATAGGGTATCTTTCCATTTATTTGTATCAGCTTTTATTTCTTTTAATCATATTTTGTAGTTTTCAGCGTACAAGTTTCTCACCTCCTTTGCTAAGTTAATTCCTAAGTATTTTATTCTTTTTGATATTATTGTAAATGGGATTATTAATTTAAAAAGATATTCCCTGAGTTATGTAAATATTATATTTGTTACATAACTATGTATAATTCTATATATTATAGTAGTTATATGTTATAGTTATGTGTTACATAAAATATTACCTTGTTTGATTCTTTAATAATACATATTATGGTATTATAATTTTTTAATGATTTCAGGAATAGAACTTAGTGATTCAGTATTATCGTTTTATATTATTATAATAGTTTATTATTATATTATAAAATTATATACTATCTCATTTGATCTTTGTATCCATAGAGTAAGGTATTCAAGGTAAACATCACTTGATGGAATTTATTTGTTTGTTTTAGTAATACAGTTGTTAACTTTGGTGACCTAAATTACAAGTTTCTAAATGATGTAATTTCCTAGGCTTAACTAGTAATTGTGAAACGATATGCCTTAAGGTTGATGTCATATTGTTTTGTTTGAGGTTTATTGTCATATGGGCAAAAATAAATGCTATTTCTATATCTTACCAATGCTAATTTTATACCTCTAGTTTTGTCCAGTGTTCCTCAAATGAAAGCTCTTGGTAAATACCAGGAAGATCATTTATATATATATATATATATAAGTTATATAATCCCAGGCAAGTGATAGATGGCAGTATTAGTAAACGTAGGTCGTATGAATTAGTAACTCTCTACCTTCTAAACCTTGTCCTTCCATTTCCTCTCTCGTGTTGAAATCTGTCATGTCTTCCGTCATGCCAAGAAGGATTGAGGGAAAAGGAAAAATTTAGGATAGTTTTTATTTGCTAAGATAATGATAGAAGTAGAGATTTGATGGAGTCATGAGAAAATTACTTTTGAAATCTGTTTAACCACAAACCTAAATAAAACAGAATTGTCTGTTAATAGAAATGGTGAAAAGTTTGTACTATAACTTAAAAAATATTACCAATAATTGAAATGATCAGAAGCACCAGAGTAAATATTTGAATCATTTTGAGGTAGAAAGTAGGGTTAAGATTGAGTTTTACCTTAAAACCCCTTATCAAGGTAGCTCAATAATCCATAATCCACATTTTGTCCTTTTTTCTACCTCTTACAGCATCATCACCAGGCAGGAGTTCAATATATGGCAGTTTTTCAGATGGTATAACATGTTTTCTTTTGTGGTTGTACTTATTTTCTTTGTTATGTTAACTTTGTGCTGTAAGTTTCACCACTTCCATTAAATAATTTGGATCAAATACTGTAAGGCTTTCTCACAAAACAAATGCATTAAAAGTATGCTTTATACTAGACTATGGCATGCTGTGAATAATTATGAAAGAAATAACTTTTGAGTCTCAAGGAGCTGTCATTCTAATGGGCACTTAGATCTTCCGCTTTTTCTTCTATTTCTGGCTGATTTGCCTCATATTCTCTTGGTGGAATTTGCATTTTCTTTCTCTGTTGGAAATACTTATATTGTTAACCATAAATTGATAAGTCTTTGTTACTTCTATCATTAGATGACAGCATTCAGAAATCAGAACGTGGAAACCAGTTTCCATCAACTTCCAACCAGCGTAAGTTTGTCTGTTCAGTTTTTATAAGCAAGCTTCTAAAATTGGTCATTCATAATTGTTTTAATTTTTTTTTGTTCAAACAATGCTATTTGAACAATTGTATTTTAGGGGCACCTGGGTGGCTCAGTTGGTTAAGCATCCAACTTCAGCTCAGGTCATGATCTCGCAGTTCGTGGGTTCGAGCCCCATGTCGGGCTCTGTGCTGACAGCCAGCTCAGAGCCTGAAGCCTGATTCGGATTCTGTGTCTCCCTCTCTCTCTGACCCTCCCCTGTTCACCCTCTCTCTCTTAGAAATAAATAAAACGTTAAAAAAAAATTAAAAAAAAAAAGAATTGTATTTTAAACACTTAAGAGGAAACAGTATATATTTTACTAGCAGTGAAATTCTTTAAGGAGAAACTGTATGAAACAACCTCTGTTTTTTCTCTCAATTATCCATAAGACCAAGAGCAAAAGTTAATAAGCAGAACCACTAACAGTAACCGAGTGAACCTTGCTGAGTCAAAAGAAAGATGGCATATAACATGACATTATAGGATTACCATGGGTTTTTTTTTTTTTTAATGTTTTATTTATTTCTAGGAGAGAGAGAGAGTGTGAGCAGGGGAGGGTCAGAGAGAGAGGGAATCACAGACTCCGAAATAGGCTCCAGGCTCTGAGCTGGCAGTCAGCACAGAGCCCGACGCGGGGCTCGAACCCACGAACCAACCACGAGATCATGACCTAAGTGAAAGTCAGACGCTTAACCGACTAAGCCACCCAGGCGCCCCATACCATGGGTTTTAGAGTCCACAGACTGGACCACTTTAGCCTTCTGTATAGCCTGGGGGCAAGTTTCTTTACTTCTCTAAGCCTATTTATTATCCTGAATAAGTACTAAGAAAAAAACTTCGCAGTGACTCTCAGACTTTGGTCTCAGTACCACTTTCTATAGCAAAATTACTAAGTACCTTAAAAAAGCGCGCGCGCGTGTGTGTTATACTTGTCCATATTTACCTAGAAATTAAAATTGAAAAAATTTAAAAATGCCTATTTACTTTTAAATAATTTAGTAAGAATAGTAACCAATTGCTTGTATTTTCTAATCTCTTTAATGCTTGGCTTAATAAAATAGAGCTGGATTCTCATATCTGCTTCTTCATTCAGTCTGTTACAATACATTGTTTTGGTTGCAGTATATGCCACATTCCAGCTTTATACTGATAATATAGATTTTTAATAGTCTTCAGATAATTGTGGATATTCTGATACTGTCCAAAACTCAACAAGGTACTTGAAATGTGAAATCTGAAACCACATTAATGAACTTTTTATGTTTTTACTTTAAAGTCCATTAGTCTTTCTTATACTTCGTATGAAATATCACATACTGATCATTCGAAAAATATTGGTTCACTACATTATGTAGATTTTCCAAATGTTGACACATTTTTAATGTGGCATAAAAAGATAACATTTGTTAATATCACCACCAATCTCAAGACTACAAGTTTTTAAGTATTCGGGAGCTGTCAAGCTTATAGTGGCAGATACAGTATTTCTACAAGTCTAATTTTCACTTTAAACCATGAATTCTGTAATTGGCAACAAATATTGTCAGCTGTTTTTCTAAAAACAACAGATTCACTTTGTTCATCTTTAAGAAAATGTCTGCCAAATACTTAAGTCTGACTAACCATACGTTGTCACTTGTTCTTTTTTTTTTTTTTTTTACAAATAGTTTATTGTCAAAT